TGTGTTCAGACAATATTTTGGATTTCATTTGTATAATCTACTAGATGCTCATATACTTGTGATACCAGGTCTTGACACAATCACTAGTAGAATTGTGATTTGAATTATTTTCTTGATTTTTTTTTATCAAAAACCTTTTTTATTTTCCTTAAATCTTGCAAGTAAGAAGAGTTTAATTACTCGAAAATTTATGAAAAGAGGAAATATATGTTTAGTTCACTAATTGGCTTGCCTAGCTGTGATGTTGGGCGCCATTAGGACCTATAGATGAAATTGGGTCGTGACAGTTTTAACTTAGCAATTTCCTTTTCATGTTGCACAATTGGTGTTCGAATTGAAATTGTCAACCAATAAATTTTGAAGGTATTTGATTCTCTACCATTGACAGCCATTAAAAAGCTCTGAAGCTTTGAATTCGAATTTGGGCTTTCAAAAACTATTGTTTGTTTGGATTGGGTGTTGTTGCAAATAATTAAAAATATTCTTTGGAGTTTATATCTCAATTTTGAGGGTGTTTTTTGAAGATTAGACTTGATTTTGGCTGAATTTTATTTTAAAACTCAAAAAAGAAGAAGAAGACGTGACATACAATATACTTATGAAATTGTATTATAGTTGTATATAAATTATATTTAAATTGTATTCTGTTGTACTTATATATTATTTTATTTGAATATTGTATGAAAGTTAAAAAATAGTTGCATAATGTATGAATTATTGTATGAAATTTGTATTTAAGTTATAAATACTATCTCTTTACATAAAGTTGTTGATATGTATCAAAATTATATTAAGAACGGAATTTTTGATTGAAATTTTCGAGAGGAAGAAGAACACATTACATACAATATATATATACAAAATACATACAAAAGACATATTATATAAAATTTGTATGAAAAATGTATTTAAGTTGTTGATGTTGTAGTTGTATTTAACCGGGTAAAAATAATGTATGAAAGTTGTAAATAAGTTATAAAAAATTGTATACTACATAATTAATCGTATAAAATATGTTTTTAGTTTATATATTGTTATAGATGTATCAAATTTTGTATCAAAATTAAATATTCTGGCATTCAGAATTCCTTTTGATAATTAAACTAAAGAATTTAAGTAGACAAATAAATTAAATTATTGGTCCAAATGAAATATTATTATATTCTTTGCTAGCACAGAGGATATAATTAATATTGTGGACAATTTGAAATTTTCTATTTGGAATAGAAAATTAAATTATATCTCTTGGTTAAAGTATATATGTGAAATATATTTAGTACTCACAATTAATATATANAGAATGGGATTAAATGTTTATTTTTCTTTAGAGAGGAAGTGATTCTTAAATAATACTTTCCTGCTTTTCATTTTACATAAATACTACAGTTAAGGCACTATGGAAAAGAGGAGAGGAGAAAAAAAAAAGAAAAGGGTGTAATTAAATCTCCTAATTTAAGGCACTAATAATGGATTAAATATGAAGAGAGGTGGCAGAGAATAGGGAAAGAGGAGAGGAGAGAAAAAAGGAAAAGGTGTAACTAAATCTCCTAATTTAAGGCACTAATAATAGATTGTATATAATTTGTAAGTAATCCTTGTTTAGGTTGGGTTATATACAAAATAAGGACAATTTTGATAAATAAGTTTCAAATATTGTATAGGAAGAAAAAAATCCCTAATTTCATTGGGAGGGTCACTATCATGTCCAATCGAATATGGGCTTCAATGACGAATCGAGCCTTGTTTTGGGTAGAAATGACATCAGGTAGTCACTTTAAAGGTGTCACGACCCTAAATCCACCTACTCGTGATGACATCTAACCCAACCTATCAGGTAAGCCAATTAATAACTATCCAATTCAATTAATATTTAACTGACTCTAATACACTCCCCAATGACTGGTAGTACAAATCATGAGTTTCTAAGATTAGAATTCACAAAGGTAGTATGAAATAAATACATTATCTATTCGAAATGTACATAAACAAATTTTTTATAAATATAAAGTTACTATGAACAAGAGGCAGCAACGACTGGAACACAGGTACATCTTCAAATCCAGCTCCCATCGATCACAACAACATCATCATCCAATATCTGCACGCAAGGTGCAGAAGTGTAGTATGAGTACAACCAACCCTATGTACTCAATAAGTAACAAACCTAACCTTAGGTTGAAAGTAGTGACGAGGTGGAACAAAGGTCAGGGTCCAACACCAAAAGCCAACAACAGTTCATAACAACATAATATAAGTAATAAAAGAAATAGCTCAAAGATAAAACGCTTAGCTTGTTCACAGTTCCAGAAAAAATAGTCATGCTTTTTAAATATATCAGTAAAAATCCAAATCCTTTACCGAAATCACCAATTTATGAGTAAGTTTGAAAACTGTGATTTTTCCCAAAACTTTCAACAGGTAAATGTTTCATTTTTAAAAGGCGTGAGGAAAATACATCTTTATGCATATATGTCAATATGTAGGAGAAGTCATGAATGACGCAATATCGTACATCATGAGGGAAAATGCATCTCTATACATGTATGTCAAGTGTGCATGTCAATGCGATGCAACTCAGTGATAAAACCATATGCATACTCTCAGAGTGTCATTTCACTCAGTCCCCACAGTCACTCAATCCTCCCAATCGCTCGGCACTCGCACTCGGCACTCGGCACTCGCATTCAGTAGGTACTTGCCCTCACTGGGGGTGTGTACAGACTCCAGAGGGGCTCCTTCAGCCCAAGCGCTATAATAAGCCAATCATGGCATAAATCAATACAACATGATGCGGCGTGCAGCCCGATCCTATCATAAATCCTCACCATCAGGCCCTCGGCCTCACTCAGTCATTAATCTCTCCAGTCTCTCGGGCTCACAATGTCATGAAAATCAGCCCAACATGATGATATGATGTATCAATAAATAGTAATAGAGACTGAGATATGATATGCAAATGAATGCGTATGACTGAGTATGTAATTGCAATGTAAACAAATAACTCAACAACAGAAATGGCATCAGTGGGTCCCAATATGATAAGCATATATCCTAGACATGATTTCTAACATGGATCATAACTCAATTACTCTAGCACGTAGAGATTTTATAGATACAAATAAGATTAGGTAACTACACAGTAACACAGAAATAACCGAGTCATAATTCACATGGTACACGCCCACATGCCCGTCACCTAGCATGTGCGTCACCTCGACACCAAACACATAACACGTATAAATCAGGGTTCATACCCTCAGCTCCAAGTTTAGAAGCGTTACTTACCTCAAACAAGCCAAATCCAATGTCGAGCAAGCCAAACAATGCTCCATAAATTCCATTCTACGCGTATCAACTTTTGAACGGCTCGAATCTAGTCACAATTAATTCGATTCAGTTAATACAAATTATAAAAATTAATTCCATATGAAAATACTAATTTTTCTACAGAATCCAAAATAACACTCAAAAATCGCCAGTGGGGTCCACATCTCGGAATTTGACAAAACTCATAAAATCCGACAACCCATTCAACCACGAGTTCAACCATACTAAAATTACTCAAATTCGACCACAACTCGGCCTTCAAATCCTCAATTAAAGTTTATGAAATTTTCTACCATTTCCAACCCAAAATACTAATTTAATGATGAAAACAATAATATATTCATGTAATTTAACCAAAATTGAGTTAGAATCACTTACCTCAATCCATATGGTGAAAATCGCCTCAAAAATCGCTTCAATCCGAGCTCTATAGCTCCAAATATATTAAAATAGTCGAAACCTCAAAATATAGCTTCTGTCTAGACATTTACTCTTTGTGATCGCGGAAAATGCTTTGCGATTGCGAAGCACAAAATTTTTCAGCCCAAAATTTGCCCTTCGCGATCGCGTAAAACCAATCGCGATCGCAAAGAACAAACTCCCCAATTCTTCCAGATAACCTCTAGTATAATGGTCATAATGTTTTGTACATAACTCCAAATGATAAATGGTTTAACTTTCTGAAAACTAGACATTAAGGGCTACAACTTTTATTTTTGGATAATATCCAAATTTCTTATAGATTGCGAGATATAAGCTTCCAAAGTCGGGTCAGTACAACAGAGATTTTGTTTTACGCAATCGCGATTCACAAGGCCACAAACTGCTGTTTGCTATTCGCGAACGCGACCAAATGTTCGCGATTGCGATGCACACCTCTGTAAACAAAACCAACAATAAAAATGGCCTAAAAATGATCGGAAACCATCTCGAAACTCACCGAGCCCCTTGGGACCCCGTCCGAACATACCAACAAGTCCCAAAACATGTTACAGACATACTCGAGGCCTCAAATCACATATAACAAAATCGAAACGACGAATCACACCTCAATTCAAACTTAATGAAACTAAGAAATTCCAACTTCTACATTCGATGTTGAAACCTATCAAATTAAGTCTGATTGACCTCAAATTTTACACACAAGTCATAAATGACATACACAGACCTATTCCAATTTCTAGAATCGAATTCCGACCCCGATATCAAAAGGTCAACTCCCCGGTCAAACTTCCAAATTTAAATTTCATATTTTCGCCATTTCAAGCCTAATTACTCACAAAACTTCAAAAACAACCAAAAAATTATATGTATGTCCAAACACAACTCTAATTTTCAAATACAATTTTTACTTGAATTTTTTTTCCACTTATTTTTGGAATTTTACAATTCTTATGTCCAAATACCCACTAAGTGTACTAGTTCATTCTGAAATCTCTCCGACGAGTCACAAAATTATAATTAAACACAGGATAAGCAGTAAATGGGGGAACGAGACTGTAATACTCAAAACAATCGGCCGAGTCATTACAAAAGGGTTGTTATTTAGGAATTAATCAGTGCATCCTGAATTTTAATTTTTCATCGGACTTGTCCTCAAATTAAGATTTTTAATTTAAATTTTAGGATAAAATAAGTATTAACATGGTATATTTGTGCACTTGCCCCATGACCTTCCGAGTCAAAAAGGGCCAAATATTCCCCGATCCACGTCTACTCCCACGCGCCACCCTCAACACGTGGGTCACATCTGCAAAGACCAAGCAAATGTCAACGTTCCGACCAAATCGAAATTACGGCCGTCATTCTCTTCCCTTCTTCTCAGTGACAAAATCCTAGCCCTCAATTCCGCCGTGGCCAGCACGCGACTCGCATTTTCGCCTCTCCTCCTCTTACCGACCACTATTCTTCTCCGATATTAGGAAAAACAAAATGAGCGATTTGCAGTAAACACTAAAATCTTAGTGAGAGAGAGCAGCTGATTGATAGAGAGAGAAAGTGCGTGGGTGAAGATTTGCCAAAAGTATGTGTTCATTATTGTGATTCAGTTTAAACCCTAAATCTCGGATAAAATTGATGTAGTTTGCATAAATCCGTTTTGTTTTGGGGCATCTATGAGTATTTACGGCTTATAAAGTTCTCAACTTGCGAGTGTGTAAAGATTTGTTTCTCGTTGTTTTGAGCTATATGTTTGTGCTATGAAATCATATCGTCTCTAACGGCTGTTTGCTTAGGGTTTCTATCTCGTTTCATATACTAGTGCGTGTGCTTCTACGTGTTGTTTGTCTACAATAAGCTTGCTTGAGAGGTAATTCTGTGTTTTTATCAGTACATATACTAGAGTGTGTGTGTGCGCGCGCACACACTACGTGTTCTTTGTGTAAAATTAGCTTGATTGAGAAGAAATGCAGTGTTTTTCTTATCAGTACATATACAAGTGTGTGTGCGCGCGCGTACGCTTCTACTTTGTTCTTTGTGTAAAATAAGCTTGTTGAGAGGAAATTCTGTACTATTTTTTATCAGTAGGGATTTAGTTTTTTCTTAAGCAGTAGGAATTTGGTGATGACAAATTACTCAATTTGTTGAAGAGCAAGTTAATTGACAAGTATTTATGCAACTGCTTTTTTCATACCTATTCAATTAGGGTTTTGTTGTTGAATGTATGACTTCGGGAACAATGGCGAATGATGAAAATGGAGGATCGAAAGAGCAGCAGAGGTTGACTGAAAGCAAAGTCTACAGACGGAAGTCATTTAAAGGGTTAAATAATATAGGGAAAACAGCTCTGGAAGATGGCAATTCGTCTAAAAAAATAGTTGGTTTTTGCTTAGATGCTGCCTCAGAAGGTTCTTCGAGTCTGAACCGTTTCTTAACATTAGAGAATACCGGAATATTGGCAGGTAATGGCCAAGAGAATAGTGCTAGAATCAATTTAGCGTTTAAGTCCAAGCGTGAGATGAGAGAGCTAAGAAGGAAGCTGCAGAGTGAGTTGGATTTGGTTCAGAGTTTGGTGAAGAAGATCGAGAGGAAAGATGCACAGAAGATCGGCACTGGAATTGATAAGGATAGTGGGGTACGACAGGTACATTCAGATGTCTCACAAATGGGGCAACAGCTTGAGTCCAGGCCTTTGAATCAGTTAAGCGTATCCGTCTTGGAGAACAGCCATGGCGTGGTTGATAATGCGGAGAAAGAGAAGAGGACACCAAAGGCAAACAAATTTTATAGGAACTCAGATTTCTTATTAGCTAAAGATAAGTTTTCCCCAGCTGAAAGCAACAAGAAGTCGAAATCAAATGCAAAGAAAGTGAGTGGGCCAGAATCGGTACATGGTATGGGCCAGGGGAAGTTCTCAAATCAAATACTCAAGAATTGTCGTGCTTTGCTTGAAAGATTGATGAAGCACAAGCATGGTTGGGTGTTTAACCAGCCTGTTGATACAAAGGGTCTTGGTTTACATGACTATTTTGACATTATTAAGAATCCAATGGATTTGGGAACCGTGAAGTCCAGGCTGGATACAAATTGCTACAAGTCTCCTAAAGACTTTGCCGAGGATGTGAGACTTACGTTTCAAAATGCTATGACGTATAATCCAAAGGGCCAAGATGTTCATATGATGGCCGAGCAACTTTCCAAGATATTTGAGGAAAAGTGGGCCACTATAGAGGCTGATTATATGCGCGAGTTGAGATTGACAATGGACTCTGAGGTGAGTTTGCAGACTCCTAAATCTAAGAAGCCTCATTCCCAACCATTGCCACCCCCTGTAATGAGGAGGACTTTAGACAGGTCAGAATCAACATCCAATCCCTTTGATTTGAAGACTAAAGCTGTCGCTCTCCCCCAATCCGGAAGGACCCCTGTACCAAAGAAGCCGAAAGCAAAGGATCCCAATAAAAGAGAGATGACATATGATGAAAAGCAAAAGCTTAGCACAAGCCTACAGAATTTACCTTCTGGAAAACTTGAACAGGTAGTACAGATCATCAAAAAGAGGAATTCATCTCTTTGCCAACAGGATGATGAGATTGAAGTGGATATTGATAGTGTTGATACTGAGACCCTATGGGAGCTCGACAGGTTTGTTACCAATTACAAGAAGAGCTTGAGCAAGAACAAAAGAAAAGCTGGACTTGCAGATCAAGGAAAAAGTGAAGCTGAGAAGAATGTCCAGGAGAAGGTAAAATATCGAGCATTAATTTTTTCCGATTTGATTCTCTCCTTTTTTTTCTGTTTGAGTAATTTTTTCATGTTTTGAGCTCGCGTTCTTGCTATTTTGCAGAATGCTAACCCAGTTGTGGTAGAAATTCCAAAAGAAAGCAAAGCAGGTAAGTTCTTAAAATGTGAGAATTTCCATGCCCAGTAATCTCGTTGGAAATAGTTATTAACTCTGTTGTATATGCTAGTAGAAGAGAAAGGCACTTCCTCCAATCCTGCTCAAATGGAAAATGTTAGTCAAGCAAGCAGCTGTAGCACTGACTCAGTGTCATCATCAAGTGGTAGTGATTATTTTTCTCTTTCATCTCTCTCTCTCACTTTTGTTTCATTTGCCTTTTTTTGGGGTGTCATGATTGGATTCGTTCTCTAGTCTAAGTCTTCATTTTCCCTTATTGTTTCACATTAATTGCAGATTCTGATAGCGAAAACTCTTCAGTAGGTGGATCTGATGCAGATCATTCACCAAAGAGTTGATTCTGTTGTCCAGATATAATGTTCTCTCTTTCAAAGTCTTATGGTAAATGCTGGAATCTGTTTCCTCTGTCGATGCTATCTGAAATCTTTTGACTTGCTCCCTTAAGTACAACAGCAATCCAACTTCCCTTGGATCTATTTTTATATTTACTCTTAAGATTCTATTGACTGATAGGTAATTTGAATAATCCAGATGATTGTTTTGCCTTTAACCAATGCACCTGTCGTTTTTGCATAAATTAATTTCTTTTAGATAGGTGATGTACGGCTTCCTTTATCTTTGACAATTTTGAAGGGTGTCTCTTTGAAGTGAATAGTGGATTGGTGATCAAGACCATCAGAGGATGGTCTGAGATGGCACCTTTTCAATTGTTGTGCTTTCTCCTTCTAGGAATAGAGCATTTAGAACCAACTCTTAATAGTAAATCAGAACAAATGTAATCCCAAAAGCCTTTTTATAGATGTCTTGCTCTGGAAGCATCCTGGTATTCTCATTACATTCAGCTCCAGAGATGTGATGCCACCATTTTGATGGTGGATCAGCCTAATATTGCAATGTAATTTGAGGAGAAAATGTTAAGTATCAGTTCAATTGGTCACAAGGTATCAAATATGACTCAAAATGTGGTGATTGGTTGGGCTCTGGTGTTCTTAAACTATAACATAACTAAAGATGATGCTTTGGACTTTTAAGTTCCTTTAGGTTTCCAGTCACTTAGAGTCATAAAAAATTCTGAACATAGAATACTGCTGGTCAACTCTATAGTCTGGTATTTTTCTGAACATCAAAGTTGTGCGAACAATTGTGGTGTAAAACTTATAATCATACTATGAAACCTTTTTTCTAAACAGGATCATACTATGAAACTTTTTAGAAGAGTGATACAACGTCTTTTAGGAGATTACAAGGGTGGCAAAGGCATAGTTTTGGTTTATACCTAGTAGGTTTATAACAAAAGCTATTTTTTTTTTTTGCTAAAACGATTGATGGGAATTTAAAAGGGGAGGAGAAAGTATCTCCAAAGGGTTATTCGTGAACATTGAAAAAGTACATAATAAAGTGTCAAGATAAGCCCTGTTGTGGGTTTTTAAGTTTAAATAAGTTCAACTAAAATGTTATAACATCATAAAGGACATGTATCAAGGAGCGCCATGTTTGCAGGATGAGAAGGTTTAAGATATTCAATTTTTTGAGTGATATCAAACATGAATCGCTTTATAATCTCTAGAATAATAGAACCTAACTAAGAAAGTAGGTCACAAGTGTGAGAATAGTTAGAGGAAATATAAAGGAGCTTCCAGTATACTTCAGTACATTAGATATTTTTCTTGAGCTCCTACTTGTTTATGTTAGTTGTAATTTAGTTTACAAATCATATAGTTTTAATGTGCATGCTATTTGCATGTGATATTATGTTAATCAACTAACTGATGACGGAGTCAATCAAAAGATTGAACTATTGAAAGGCACTCTAGATAATAAGTGTGTTAAGATGGATAGAAGGAAGAAAGTGTATATCCATTAAAGTTTAACTCTAACCCCATATGAAGAATGAAGCTAAAGTGAGATTAGATGAAATCTACGTTGCCCGGACTCGGGGGCGGATCTAGATGTCGGATTCTTCATCACATAATTCTAGGATTCAAAGGTATGGATCTGAGTGTGGATACGAGTGTTGAAATACGGCCAACAACTGTACATATATACGTATATATTCTGATTAAGTAAAGTTATCAAACAAAAACTAATAAAATTTAATTCTTTATAAACACCTAATATTTTATTCATAACATATCTCGTGTAGAGCCAAGCATTCTCAATACGTTATATGAATATATGACATAAACCAAAAAATTAAATCAAATACGGAAGCAATCTATACTGCTTGGTCTGTTGGTCATAGATGTAGCTAAAGCACCCAAGGTAAGTTGACCAAATCCAGTGTGGATCTCACACCCACACTCAAATCGTGTCGGGTGCGGCAGGGATTTTGAAGGGTAAGCAACATAAGATAGGATTATAGTATCTAAATGCAGGCATTCAAATATCTAGGCTCCATCTTACAAGAGAATGACATGACACATGAAGATGTGACACGTAACTAAAATAGGATAGTTGGAATGGAGGAGTGCTAAGCAAGTACTATGTGATAGGTTAAAAAGGTTGTGAGACCAACCAAAGGCGGATCCAAGATTTAAACTTTATGAGTTCAACTTTTAAGACTTTTAGCGTTGAAGCCGTTATATTTTTTAAGTTATGGGTTCATGTCTACTATTTATTACAATTTCAGGAAAGTTTTACACATAAATTATAATTCGCTTAGAAAGTTATGGGTTCAATTGAACCCGTACTTATAATGGTACATCCGCCCCTGAGACCAACAATGTTATAGGGAATCATTGTTGCGATTTAAGGTTCAAAATATTCTCAAGATGAGTGGCATAAAAATGTGGATGTCAAGTGGATGCGCAATCATATAAAATTGAAAAATATTAGAAATAATCACACTCTGATAGATGGTGCAAATAACACACCTGAGATGAGATGGTTTGGCTGTATGATGTCGTGTGGTGCTATGATAATTGAAGGAGCTAAAAGGGGATAAGGTCGATCTAAGATCACATTAAGAGAAGTTGTTTCAATATATGTATGATCTCGAAATCTATGCTTACCTAATTAAAACAATGCAAAGGTACCATATAAGCGATACCAGTTTGTTGGATAAGAATTACATGTTGTTTCACTTACATTAGGTCCAGTGTTCGTTTGGACTCTTTTTAGTTTTTAGTTTGGTTAGAGATCTGTATGCCCCAACTTGTTTGGACTGAGATTTAGTTGTAGAGATTTGTATGCACACTGTATGGATAGGTATGAGCTTTGGAGCATTTCTAGTTGTAGAGACCACCTAATTTGTTTTAAAGGACATTGGAATAGAATGAGCTTAAAAGTAGTAGAATGATACAGAGGATATAATTCAAACGAGTGGAATGATATAGAGGATTCATATAGTCGATTCTTATTAGTCTGAGATCGAGGTATACTTTATTGATTGATCTTGCAAGTTATGCAGAAGGAATTATATACCCGGAGGTTAAGGCAATGTTTTCGACCTCTAAATTTATAAAGGTTAGCAGTCAACCAGCAAAATAAAGAATGCTGAACATAGAACGGTAAAGCTTAACATTATGGTCTTGTAGTGGTGTCTTCTTTGAATTACTGGGACTGGATGATTTACCGGAGGAGGTAACATTGATGGCATTGAGTCGGCAAATGATATAGAAGCTGCATAATATGTTTGATGAATGTAATTTAAGTCTTGCTGGCATGATTTTATGCCTTTTATGTAGGGGTAATATAGTCCTCTTTTACTGCGTCACATCTAGTGGCTTAGAGTTGAAAACATATTTATGCCTATCTAGAGAGGGCCCTTAAGATGGGTTGCTCTAGTGGTAAGCACCCTCCACTTCCAACCAAGAGGTTGTGAGTTCGAGTCACCCCAAGAGCAAGGCGGGGAGTTCTTGGAGGGAGGAAGCCGAGGGTCTATCGGAAACAGCCTCTCTACCCCAGGGTAGGGGTAAGGTCTGCGTACACACTACCCTCCCCAGACCTCACTAGTGGGATTATACTGGGTTGATGTTGTTGTTGTTGTAGAGAGGGCCCTTAATACGAATTCACATGCATCATGAAGGCAATGCAATTATGACGTAGTGTAGGTAAAATGACAAAGTACCACCTATGTGAGATGCTAGAGGTCTGAACATCATAGTTATGTTACATTGAATGGTTGGTGTTCAGGTGAACTGCTATCATATCCTTTCGGGAGAAGATTTTGAGCTCCCAATATCCTGGAGGGAGAATATTTTGAGCGCCCCATAGTCTTGTTGCTCTTCCAGGTTTGTAGGTGAAGACCAAACAATAATTCGGAAATATCTACTCTTTGGATGTATCAACTTTTGGAAATTCCTTACAGCTGGCGTTTCTGATAGAGTGATGCAAGATACAAATTAGACAGTATATTTGGCTCCATGTTGATTGATACCAAGTTTGCCACAACTAGAGTGGCTGGCTTTCTTTTCTGCTGAGTTAATCTTATTTTTGCTTTCCCATCCAATTTAACACTAATTAAATATTTCTAAGTTGTGTGCATATTTGATGAACTCGAGTTGTTAATATTTCTGTATAAGTCGTGTGCAAATTTGATGAACTCGAGTTGTTAATATTTCTCTTTTAGTTGTGTGCAGATTTCAAGTTCTACGAGCATACTGATGTCGTCCTTCAATTAAGAGGGTGCTGTTGGTGGTAATGGCATATGCTGTCTGGTCTCAAATTGTATAATAGTAGCCTGTAGTTTGTAGCTTATGTACATTCGCTTGTGGATCTCTAATTTGTGCAGTTTGAAGTCATATTTTTCTAGTGATTGGATCACTTGAATGTGGTAGAACTTTATCTGTCCTACTCGTAACATTAAAGATGCTCTGTACATATGTTAATAAAGTAGTAATAAGTCAATCAGGACAATTAACTAATATCCTTTTCCAATTTTTATATTTTTGAATGAACAACCCTCTTTTTTGTTAATTTTCTTTTTTTTTCTACTGAGAAATTATGCTTATATTAGGTTCTGTTATATTTGTTTTGCTTTATATTTGGCCTAGTCGTTTGTGTGCTCAACGGTGAGCAGTTCGTGATACAATTGTAAATGCTTTGTCGAAGAAGCACATGTTTAAAGAAGTATGTTCGAAATCAAGCGTCAATGACTTTTTAAGGGTCGGATTTACCCATTTACTTTCAAATATTATTTTTATTTAATTTATGTTATATTTTGTGAATAAAACTATACTTAGTCATAATTTTGATGAGGTGAACGTTACGCGGCATATCATCTCATTACTCTAACCTCCAATCTTGTTTAGACCTTAACTGTCTAACTGCAATTCCCAGGACCTAAAAGAGTGGGAGTTATAGCCAACTAGTTTTAGTGCTAAGAATTTGACTAACTGGTTACTGGCAACTAAAATTTTTTATTTACTTTAGATTATTTTTTGCAATTATTTTACTTTGGATTTTTATTTTTGCAAAATATTATTAAGAATTTGGTGACTAAGTGCATGTCACGTGGTGTCCACTTTACCAAAATGTCACCCCCATAGGAATTGCCATAGCCATGGTGGACTAGCCTCAAAGATAAAGGTAAGTTTAACTTTGATCCTTTATATACAAATCTAGACATTAGAAGTCCCTTCAAATGCAAAAGAACCTCAATCGCCAACCATAAATCAAACAGAAAAAAAGTTAATGCTAATGGAAAAGGTCAATGCTACTAGTAAGTAAGTAACAGAGTCACTAGTCACTACTAATCTTAAACGACTATTAGAAGTGGCCATGTTTAACTTTATACTCAAAGGACCATTTTCTCTCACTATATTTTCCTTAATAATAACAAAAGAGTTTAAGTTTTATATACAACAACAACTCAGTATAATCTCACTAGTGGGGTCTGGAGAGGGTAGTGTATACGCAGACCTTACCCCTATTCTGGGATAGAGAGGCTGTTTCCGATAGACCCTCGGCTCACTCCCTCCAAGAGCTCCCCACCTTGCTCTTGGGGTGACTCGAACTCACAACCTCTTAATTGAAAGTGGAGATTGCTTACCACTAGAGCAACCCACTTTTGTCAAAGTTTAAGTTCTATATACTAATTATGAAAAATATTTGCACAATTAAATCATTTAAAAGATTATTACAAGTAACTATATCTAATGATATTGATATGTAGTCTAGAATAAATAATAACTAACCTACTATAACAATAACATCCTATAGACAAATAGTCTGTTTTGCCGAAGTTTTTTTGTGGCAAAAGTGCTTCTTCTTTTTTTTTTTTTGGGCAAAAGTACTTTTTTGTTTGGCCAAGCTTCTAGAATTTTTTTTTTTTTAAGGAAAAACAAAAGTAATTTTTGAGAAAGAAAGAAAAAAAAAAAAATCTCCCAAAAAAATATTTTTTCGAAAAGTATAGTTTTTTGAAGTGGAGCCATAGTTCAATACTTCAATCTCAAGTCCTAGACTATCTAGTTATCATCCTCTTCGGCCTTCACTTTCAGACTTCACATAAACCGCAAATTTCATCCCAAATGGCAGCATATACTTTCAAATTCAGACCAATATTTTCCACCCCGCTAAGATTCACTCTCTGCTCCTCACAGAAAAGCACAATTTCTTCCTCTTCTTTAACTATTCATTACCCAGAATTACCAAACCAGTGGTCAGGTTTGCAAAATTGGAGACAAAGCCCACTTAACCACCAGCGTTTATGGGGACCCAATGGCCCTGATAATATTATTATACCCTCAAATTCAACTAAAGAATCCCTTTTGTGGGAATCAATTAACTCGGCGTCGTCTCTTGCTGAAATGGGTACTGCTGTTCTTTGCACCAGTGATCCTTTAATGAAATCGAAGCTTTCCCATTTGGCTTATTGTAGGTGGCGTCAAGAGGGTCTCCCTGTTGGTACTTTTCAATCCCCGGCTCGGCCTGCTCGACCTTCCAAACCTGAACTGGTATTGTTTTCCCCATTATTTGAAGTTCTTTAGTAAATTGAATTCAATTACAATCTCTGTTTCAATTTATGTGAATTTATTTGATTGAACACGTAGTTTAAGAAAGAAAGAAAAGCTTTTGAAATTAATTGTGTCGTAACATTTGTGTATCTATAAAAGCTTCTCAATAAGGTTCACAATGCCGAATGAGAAGTTTACCTTAAATTGTTTCCATATTTAGAAAGAGGTCATTATTTTTGAAACAGATTAAAAGGAAACAGATCACATAAATTGAGATGGAAGGAGTACCAACTTTGCTCGTTCTATTTGTTTTCTTAAGAGATGTATTGGCAAAGGGGTGAACTTTACTTTTATGATGGTTTTCATCAGTTGTTTAACATTGAATTACTTGATTATTTGACTTTAGTCTTCACTTTAAAGACATAGGTGCATGTAGTTTCTTGGCAGTGGGTACGTGTACCTACAGTCTTCCATTTGTAACATATAGATAGTTTCGAAATTTAAAAGTGTATAGTCTTACCAAGTTCATACATATTGTCAACAAACGACTAGGGACTTCAGTGCTACTTCGTGCTAGAACTGTGTGTGATACGTCGCCCTACAAACCCCAATTTGAAGTAGTTCAGTCAAAACTTAAGATGCTGATGTTTTTACTTTCTTTTGATTCTCTCGCCAATGATTTTGTAGCTTTAGCTTATGTGTTCTAAGTCTTGAATACAGGTTCCATCTAAAGAAATTCCACCTCCTAAACACTCGGGTTTACCTCTCAATGCATATATGCTTCACAATCTTGCTCACGTGGAGTTAAATGCAGTTGACCTCGCTTGGGATACTGTAGTCCGTTTCTCACCATACAGTGAGATTTTAGGTGAGGGGTTCTTTGCTGATTTTGCACATGTGGCTGATGATGAGAGTCGCCATTTTGCTTGGTGTTCACAGAGATTATCTGAGCTTGGATTTAGGTGAATATGTCTTCAATTTTGCTATGAAATGTGTTGTATTTAATAAGATGGATGTTTATATCTCTTTGCTTCCTTGAACAGCTACGGTGACATGCCTGCTCATAATTTGCTCTGGAGGGAGTGTGAGAAATCTTCAAATAATGTTGCTGCACGGCTCGCTGCAATCCCACTTGTTCAGGTCCTCCACTATTTTTGAAAAAGATATGAACGATAAATCAATTGCTTAAACTGTTGGAATATTATGCAGTGACGATTGCTCAACTCATTCCACTTATTTGTCTTTGATTGCTTGGGGATCTATTTTAAAGCTGTGTGATTATGCTTTCTCTGGGAAGTGCAATAAGTGTGTTTAAAATTGGGAAGAAATTGATAAAAGGAAAAATAATAATCAACTTTAGAAATGGGCAAGCATCGCCTATTGACAATTAAGTAATAGTAGTTAGACGAGGTTGGTTTCTAATATACTAAGAAAGCTTCTAGGTGTAGTTACTTACTTGTGGAGGAAAGATGCTAAGAAATATGGACGAGTGAATGAACTATCAGTATATTTTCCATAGACCAATTATAACCATATCCTGTTGGAAATTCAGCAGTTAACGTGGTAGGAAATGTTAGAAGATTTATTCTTACAAATATTTCAGTAGTCTTAGTGTTGGCTATGAGGTATCCTGAATTCTGAGTATGTTCTCCTGACTTGAAATTTAGAAGTATGAAGATTGAATTACTCGTCAAAGTTTCAACTACTACTTCCAGAAAGAGAAAAGGAAAAATAATATACTTTCCTATGTAGCAGTTTTCTGCTACTGCTTAAAGATTGAATTACTCAAGCAGTTTTCGCTGCTTGCGTCATTAAATTGACTTGAGCGATGGCAGATGTTGCGTAGTCTGCAGTTAGGTGAGGCTAAACTCTGTCATTAAAAGGTGTTGTGATCAAGTCTCTGCAATGGTGTTATCAATTTAATAAATGGTAAATGTGGGCAATCATAAATATGGTGTCGGACTTTTCTTAGGTTGTCTTAAGTATGTCATGTTAGATTCTCTTATCAGAAAATTCATTTAAATGATTTCGCTAGAGGTGCGAATATTGAATTTTGGCAAGTTCCTGGATGAAGTTCTCACTATCATTTTCTACTCTGCCTCTAATTAAGATCTCTTTCTTCTTCAACAGTTTAGCCTGCAGGATCGCTACATCTCTATTTCTTTTTGAATTTCCTCTCTTCTGGAAAAATCAGTTGTACAACAATAACAGCTATGCCTTAATCTTAAACTAGTTAGGGCCGGTTATGAATCTTCAAGGGTATATGTAGCTAAATTGGTAAAATAAAGGTCAAGGGTCAAGCACTTGTTACTAGAGACAACCGGCATGTGCCATTACTGAATGATGACGCTGGACTAAAAAGTAACATGGTTGTGTATGTGTGTCTCTTGATTTACGTGCCCTTTTATTAGATTTAGGTGTATATTTTGATCTTAAAATGTACTAGTTAGATATGACAGCTTCTTATTCCACAACAGAAAGCACTAGAAGTTTTGAAATACAAAATGTAGAAGTCGCACTTTAAGACTCATGACATACTTCCTGTGTCCTGAAGAGTGGCTTGGTTGGTTTATAAGGGCCAAATAGCATATGCTCGAGATGAATTCCAAACATGATTCATCCGCTGTTTGAAAGTAAAACTTTTAGATGTTGACAGTACGTAGGTGGACATTGTTTTTGCTTTTCTTTCCTTTCTCCAATTTTTTTTTTCATTTAGTATGTTTTCAATGAATAGTACACACGAAACCACTTTTCATTGGGCTATGAGTTGATAAAGCTATTCTGGCTCATTCATGCTTTCTATCAATGAGTCAGAACAATGTCACTCAACTCTTCTTTCAAGGCATAGTTATCCAAGTGAATAAATTAAAGTTGGCTTCATTAATGAAAACAAGAACGGGATGGCCCCTTTAGTGATTTTAACGTCTAAATAGCCAAAGCCCAGGCGCCTTTACTGAAGAAGTGGCCAAGCTCACTTCTCAGATTGGGTTCTACTGTTGGAGTAATTTCCTGCAAGTGTTTTAGCACAATTCTTTTTTTTTTGAGATGGTAACATATTGTATATTATAATAAAATCAGTACATAGGTTGTACTGAAATCATATTTACAAGTGAGTAGCCAAAAGAAAAAAACTTGGTCCTCAGGCCTAACAAGATTCTAGGATATCTACGATTGAAATAGTATCTTTTGCGTAGATCTGTTTACACCATAAGCAAAAAAGCAAAACACAATTAAGCTTGATCTTCTGCACAGAGTTTCTTCTATCCTCAAAACATTTGGAATTCCTTTCTTTCCAGATTGTCCACCAAATACATGCTGGGATAGTTCTCCATCTATCTCTGTCTCTTGCTCCAGTTCCATCTTCATCCCAACTGAAAAGAACTTCAGTAATCTTACTAGGCATTGTCCAAGCTATGCCCCTGAGATTAATAGAGATCTTCCATAACTGGTCAGTTATCTTGCAATGTAAAACATCTTGTGTTTTAGCACAATTCTAATTACAGCAGAAATGTTGATATAGATGGAAATTCTTTTTGGCTTGTGCATTAAATAAGATGTTGACACGTATTAAAAATGGGCACATAGGCTCTAATATTTTGGCCTGAAAGTTTGTAATCAGTATGATCTTTAAATTTTGGTGTTGCGGATGGGAATATGTTTTCATGAGGTGCTTGTTTCTTGCTGTCATATTAGGAGATGCATTTCTACTATGTTATGTGAATTCATGAATTTTCTTGTTTCCTATAGGAAGCACGAGGTCTTGATGCTGGGCCTCGGCTGGTGCAAAAGCTCATTGGCTTTGGAGACCATAGGACTTCCAACATTGTGGCTAGAATTGCTGATGAAGAAGTTGCACATGTGGCTGTCGGTGTCTTCTGGTTTGTTTCGGTTTGTCAGCAAATGGGACGCATCCCCTGCACAACTTTCAGAGGTCCACTTATTTGTGTGTGTGTGTGTGTGTGTTTTTAAAAGGTGCAGGCACTCTCTAGCCTCTTTAGTGAATTCACCAATTTCTTCTTTGGCAGATTTATTAGAGGAATATAATGTGGAGTTAAAAGGACCATTCAACCATTTGGCTAGAGATGAAGCTGGTCTTCCACGGGAATGGTAAGTTAACAGTTTGATAGATCACATTTATTGTCTGATAAAATGGAGAATACTCTGTATTTTTTGTACGTAGGTATGATCCTCCTTCATCAAATGTAGAAAGTAAGCAAAAGAAGCTATCTCAGGTATTCCGTCCTTGGACTTCGAAAAAACTTAATTTAGAAAAGCTATAGTTTCCTTGATGAATTTATATTCTCTATTGCATCCGAGAAATGTGAGGACATGGAAAAAAATTGCAGGTTTATGACAGATTGGAATGCATAATTTCTATGGAAAAGGAGAACTCGAGCCTGGGCACTCCACCCCAATAATTCCTATACGGAGGAATTGATTCTGCCTGAAGTTCATTTGATCAATAAACTGCAGTTGGTTCTGATGATTATTCCGTTTCAAGTGAATGCTCAATTGGTTCACCGATGGATATACTCGATTTGGTGGAAAGTTTAGTTTTGCTGCAGGAGTAGCTCCGGCTCTAGACTGACTTCGTAAACAGATCAGCTAAAATTTCAGGGAGCTGGTCTGTCAATTGTAAGCAAACTGAGTACATCTTTGATCCAACAATCTGAGCATGATTTACTGCCACCACTATAACCTATTTGCCTTGGCTCTAGTACTTCCGGAATATGTTTTAAGTAACCACATTGGTCTTTCAAACAGAAAGCCTAGACTATTGGCCTCAGAAGCGTAAATTTGGAGCTCAACTCTGATGGTTTGTAGAAAGGTATTCGTCCTTCATGGCTGGATTCCTGGCATCATTCTTTTTCTCTGATAATGGTGGTGTCCATGCTAGCTTGCGCACACTTCAACTATTCTACTGGGTATGTGCTGCCTACCACCAGTTGGTATCGGGTAACTCTGTCCATCAAAACTCAAGCATTGGATTCCTAGCATCATATTGGATTGAGGACGGCTTTTTCTCATGATCAGAACACTGACATAGCATCAAAGCTCTTTATATTTTGAAGACTTCTCTCCCTTCCAGCTTCTACTCATGCTGCGGTGGCAAGAATTTGTTTGGCAGGACAAATGTTGGTATTCAAGTATAGCTATTACAGTTTTTTCCTTTTCTTTTTCAATTTTTTGGAAGGTTGTAAGTTTTAAAATAACCAAACTTTAGGGATTTTGAGTGTTGAATGAAGACACATTTGTCTCTAAAAAGTAATTTGCTTACCTGTAGAACATCTTTGATACTGATCTTCATGATTTTCAATCTATCCTTAATTTGTTGCTCATTTCCTCTTATTTGATTAAGGTCTCTCATTTCCAGAATCTACCTGGCAGTATGCCCAGCAGTATACTCCCTTTCTCCAGAGATTGGGATGAAATCGACAGCAACCATGGTATTCTCACATAAAAAATAACTTGCTCATATTGCATGTTTATACCAAATTACATTTATTTACCATGATTAGTGATATAAATGAGGTAAGAGTTGTGTCTTAATCCACTATGATTAACTGATAACAGTATATATAAAGCTCGCAACCGTTAGCTGAGTTGGTTGGGTGAGTGGTTTCTCAAATGGGAGGTCTGGGATTGATTCTTCTTAACAACAGTCTCCTCCGTTAGAGTTCGTCGCAACGGGCTTGCCTAGTACGATTTACGTCTCCTGTGTATTTTGCGAGTTATTGCACATTGAGCAGGTTACCCAATGCACACCCGAAGGGCAGCGACTGCGGGTTTTCCTGGAAATTTTCCAAAAATAAAATAAAATAATAATAGTATATGTAGAGACATATTCTTGTTATTTTGCCGGTGTTGTTGTTTACTGCTTCTTCTTTTTCATCTTTTCTTGAGCCGAGGGTCTATTGGAAACCGCCTCTCTACCTTCTCAAGGTAGGGGTAAGATCTACATACATATTATTCTCTTCAGATCTCACTTGTGAAATTATACTGGACTTGTAATTGTTATTGTATAAAGATATATGTTTCGTACTAGTGAGCTGCAGAAATAGAAAAAGTTGGTTGGGTCTTTCTGGCTGAGCCAAGAAAGTAACAAGTAGCAAAAAAGGAATCCAATTCCTACTATCTGTTCAATAAATAAGAAAAGAAAAGAAAAGTCACAAATTGAATAGAATTAGTTAGTTATTTTAGAGGGAAAAAAAAAAGATAAAGCGTGGAATGCTTAATAAGTGCAATATAAAATTCTGATTCCTTTTTAAAAAGTTATTGGTCCAAATTGAAGAATCACTTTTTACATAATTTTCTGTCGAAAGAATTAAACAGCAGGGAAAAAAGAGAATTTACGCCTCGAAAAAAAATTACGTTTCAAAAAGAAAAAAAGAAAAGAAAAAGAGAGAACATGAATAAAAGATATGGGAAGGATTTAAAATATTATTACATTGTTATTGTAACTTAACTGGTTATCATAGATTGTTTACCCCAAAAATCGAATAACAATTGAATTTGTAAGTGGTTTAAAGGATATGCGGATTAACTTGATACAAAGCGATAAATTAGATTGCAAAACCACGTGAATTGAATGATTTCAACTTAAGAAAGCAAGCACTTTTATTGAGTTGAAAGCACTTTTATTGACACAAAGATAAGAAAGAAATAAGAATTTTTAGGATAACGGTGATGTATTGCTTATGAGTATATGTTACCATCTTCTTAATGATTTGTCAAGTCCCCTTTTTATATTAGGGGAGATCTACCTTTTAAGGTATTATTTTATTATTCTATAAAAGGCAAAAGTCCTTGGTTTGCTGAGCGTTGGTTCCCTTTTTGAGTCGTTCCATGATTTTTGCCATAATGATTGGTTAATGGCGAGAATTACGGACCCCTGTCGGATGAGTTGGCAAAGCTTTTTTCGAGACCGTTAGAAACATGACCGGTTACGCGTTCGGTAAATTTGAGGGCAAATATGATGGTTTCGATGGCTAATTTTAGCAACGCTTTGGGTTCGATCTTAATCACCATGTTTCGATCTTGGCTGATTGTTTTGGACGTTAGATCGATCTTCGAGCTTGACTTTACCGATCACAGATATTTCGACCCTGGCCTAATCAGGGAGTTTTGGAAGATCGATCGAATATCGAGCTCAGTTTTACCCGTATACAGATAGTCCCCTCGTTTTTCGGAGAATGGATGACGAGAAACGATATGAGCCTTCGATTCTCACTTTGATATATCATGATGTAAGTGACAAAATCATGACGTAACATCCTCTTGTTTTTCGGAGAGTAAATGATGAGAAACGATATGAGCCTCCGATTCTCACTTCGATATAACGAAATCATGAGTAAGTGATAAGAATAGTTAAAATGTCCTGTCGGTCTAGTTTTCAAGTTATTAAATGTGTGTCAGTTAACGGTCTGCCACTTCAGGATACGAACCGCCATTTTGAGAAAACTATAAATACCCCCTCATCCATTCATTTAGAACTTTTACATTCAAACTTTTGCTCTTGTGCTTTAAGAAAACTTCATCCCTCTCATATTCTGGTTTTCTCGCTTACATTCAAACTTCTTCCCTTCAGGTTTTCTGAAAACTTCCGTAAAAGTTGCACATATGCCAACCATACCCTCTTTTCCATTAACATCCTCCTTTCTCCACCTTTTTCACTATTTAAAAGCAATGGCAAAGATTTCAAAATCAGTTCCATAAAAAGAAACTCCCTCTGCTTCGCGACCGGTTGTTGAGAAAAATATTTCGTCCGCCGCTGCCGAGGAACCGACACCGGAACCTCCTCTGCAAATGTTTGTCCCTACGGGGTGCCCAGTCAGAGCTGATTTCAAGGTCGAGAAAACCTCCTCGGTACCGGGTTGGTGTGAGCCGGTCTCGAGATATATATGCTCGGTCACCGATAGTGTCCTTGCCAAGGTCAAGGAAGACTGTAACTGGGTTGATAAGCACGTAGTGATCCCTACGCCCGAGGAGACGATTACTACCCGCGTGGAGGGTTTTCTAAGTGTTTACACTTGCCTTTTCATGCTGGGCCCCTTAGATCCGGTCATCATCGCCTTCTGTAAGAGGTACGAGGTGACCCCCGGTCAGATTCATCCTTCGTTCTGGAGGATAGTAATTCTACTCCGCTTCTTTGTGAGCAAGATCGAAGGGTGTCCCTTTACCATCGATCATTTCATGCGCTTGTATAGACCCCCGGCTTTATCGAGGTGGACTGATTAAGCTGGCCCGTCGGGCTAGTAAGGCTCCATTTTCCAGCATCGATGAAGATCGGGATCGAGGCTGGTTAGGCCGTTTTGTCCGAGTGAAGACCTCGGATTTGATCCCAGCCTAGCATATGCCATTTCCTGAGAAGTGGAATATGAAACGTAAGTATAATCTCGCTTTTAAGATTTCGTTTGTTGCTATTTTCTTTTTCTCCCCCCTCATCTATATTTTGTGGTGGTGCAGTTGTTGCTCGGATGCCGGATGCGGTTCCTCGATTCAAAGAATGGGTCGAGCGCATCATGAAGCAAAGACTTTATTCCGAGCATTCGTGGCGCGAGCTCTCGAAGGGCCGATGGGAGGCCCGTTCCCATGGTAAGAGTTTTCTCAAGTGATTTTGATTTCCCTTTCGCGCTATCGATTTCTAACTTGCTTTACTTCTTTTCTGCTGGTTTACCAAAAGATGTTGAGATGAGTCCTCCGTACGGTGACGACAATATCTTCACCGAGCCCCCTGCCTCGGGGTAGGATAAAGAGAAGGAAAGGAAAAAGGCTCCGAGTTCTCCGGGCCCTGAGAAGAAGAGGCCAAAGAAAAGTTGGCTCGTAAACCCAAGGGAAGCACCAGTGGTCGAACACTGTCCCCGGACTCACTCTTTCGATTGAGGATGAGTCTGAGGGGGAAAGAGAGGCCTTTGATCTCGTGGCCAGTATGTCGTCGCAGCTCAAAGGTCAAGAGACCTCCGAACCAGGGGGAGGTGAGACCGAATTTCATCATATCGGGAAGACCGGGGTGGAGGCAGGAGCTGAGGCTTCCCGAGATGAGGGCAAAGACCTGCAGGAATCACTTGGCCCGATAGAGATTGCCGAGTCTCCCTCGTTCACTGAGTTGGTGTTTAACGAGGCCCAGGTTGTAAAAGAACGCCCCCTCGAGGGGGCCCATAGATTGAACGACCCCTTCCGTGGTTTTTTCAACGGTGTGGATTCGACGGCCACGGAGGACGCCATTGAATTTGGCGATATAGAGATACCGAGGAAGAGCTCTCCCTCAGAAGTAAGCAGGCCTTCCTCGAGCGCGAAATTGGTCAATCGATTCCCTGCCCCGAGCGCATATCTTGATCGAAAACACACCATTGTTTTTCCCTTCCGGAGGATGCCCGGGTTCTCTCCGCTCCCGTTGGGGTGGCCAGCTATCTTCGGTGTCTGGTGACCGAGGATGATCAAGCTAAGATAAACGAGGTGGATGCACCCTGCCTTTTCAACGAAGTGCAACAGGCGTTGAACCGGGTAACTTCTTGCTTTCCTAAGTGAGTTTTTGATTTATACTTAGATTATTCTACAGATGTTTTAGCATTTCCCATCTTGCTTGTAGGCTTCGGTGCTTTATCACGAGGCTTTTTTGAGGTACCGGGATGACCTGAAACAACTCGAAGCCGGAGTTCGAGAGCTTACTGAGAAGAGAGACGCCTTTAAATTTCTTAGTGAGCAGTTCGAAGGGGAGACTAAGAACCTCCGTGCTGAGCTGGAAGTGGCCCGGAAGGATCATGCTGACTTGGTCGAGCAGGTAAAAGTTTTCGAAGTAAGTGATGATGAGTTTGATTCGATGACTGATGGTCAAAATCCGCAGGTCCAGCAAAAGCTCGATCGGATTGCTCAACTCTGAGCTGTAATGGATATAATCAAAGTTGAGACCGATGAATGGAGAAGCAAAATGGATCGCTTGACCTCGGAAAAAGAGGTTGTTCGGGCACAACTAACTTCGGCCGAAATCTAGCTAAGAGTGGCAAAGGAAAGGGCTGAGGTTCAGACAAAAAAGGTTGAGGAGCTCCAATCTCGGCTCAGTTCTGCCGTCTCAGATCGAGATAATCTAGCAAAGGAGCTTAAAACGTCCAAGTCAAAGGTCGTCATGGCCAAGTCCGAAGCTGCTGAAATGGTGGCCCAGTACAAGGCTGATGCCGAAGCTGCTCAAGATCAATCAAAAAATATAGCCGAGCATATGAAGTGGCAATCTCGAAGGCAGGCCCTTGAAGAAATTCACACTCGGAGTTTTGACTTATCGACCGAGATCA